ATTTGGACTTCGGGTTCCGAAGATGCCGGAGGCTGTGGTGTGAGTTCTTTTCGCAGGAGAGCTCAAGCATGGACTTCTTTGGCAAGATGCCCTGCTGCAATTAAGTCGCGATGAATGTAGTTTGTGCACGTATCGTTTTCTGCTGTGTTCCCGCCAGTCTGACCACGCGGAGCAAAGTTGAGGATTGAGATTTTGTTGTTTTGGAATGATCGGTTTACCGAACTTGGGAACTTGGGAACCTTTCGGGCTCGGAGTCTTCGCATGAAAGCTATGGGCGGAGAGTCTCCAATCATTCGTTTCGAGAGTGCGCAAGTCTCATGATTAGCCTAGATGTCCTGCCCGAGACTACAGCCACCACCAGTCGCGGTCCTCCTTCTCGACGCGAGAACGATTAGAACGACGAAGACAGCGCGACGAGGAGAACGACGACGAAGACGGCGGCGCCGACGACAACCAGGATGACGAGCAGGAGGAGGCGGCGGAGGAGGAGGAGAGCATATCATCGAGAAACAGGGGCGCAGAATCGTAACGACGACAACAGAAGCGACAGCAACGGGGCAAAGCTTGGGTGTTCTGAGAGGAAGAGTCCCATGTTTTGAGCATGACTTTAGCTTTTTGTTGAGTCTGTGCTGAGTGTTTTCACAGTGGCTCTTGGCTGCGGCATGTTCACCGCCTATGTCCGTCAGGCTCCCGAGTATTTGATCAAGCCCGTCATGGACACCAGTGCTGCGTTGCTGAGGTGAGCTTCTGAGCTTCTGGGCTTCCGTGAAAGCGAGCGGGAGCGGTTTTCGCTTTGCCAGTGAGGCGTTTCTGAGGCGGACGGCGGACGGTGGACGGAGCTCCCCCTTTCTATTCCTTCAGAACTCAGCTCTCTTGATCGTCTTCGTAGCATCTTCGTAGCCTCCGCCCGAAATTCCTGGAAGCTGCCGGCCCCTGTCTTCAACGCCCCTAAAACTCCTAAAACCCGAAACCCTAATCGTTAAACCCCAAACCCCTAAAAATCCCTGAAATCCCAAAAACCCCTAAAACCCGAAACCCTAAACTCCAAACACTACACCAACCTGCTGCACAAATTCGCCTTGGCCTTGGCCGAAGCGTTCAGACCTTCCCGCAGGGATCCTCCCTGCTTGCCCTCCTCCTAATCCCCTCTCCAATGACCCACCTCTCCTCATCCTGGCCCGCTGAGCCCACCCCCCCCTCCAAGGTCAGATGACTTGTGCCGGGCCGAGGCAGACGATGCGAAGGCGATTGCAATCAGAAGCTGGAGTGCAGTGAGCCTCAGAAGGCGGAATTGCTCTGTGGTGCTCAAAGTCCTGCATACACGCGGAAGTGGCAAAACACGAAGTGCGGGCTCCATAGCTTATCAGCCTGGGACGGTGTCGGAGAAGCAGAAGATGAAGCCGGGCTGAACCTGGCGACTTAGAGAGCTCAACTGGGTCTCCCGATCGTTGCCTCCAAGCATGGCCAGACCACTGCAGGCGACCTTGGCAAGATTCACTAACGATGCCAACTCGACTGCCACGACTCTGTTCAGGGCTAAGCTCGAGGCATTGGTCGTCCAAGCTTGGGGTTGCAGCTGCATCTGTGCTGACGGCACTCAGGGGTCTGTTCCTTGGAAGTACAAGCATAAGCACAGCTAACGAAGATACTCGACCTCGCAGCTTGAGCCAGACACTCGGAGGGTAGATGTTCCGGGGTTGCAGCACCTGGCGACTCTCACTTCAGAAACGTAAGTATCGCATTTGCAAGGAGTTGTAGACCGCCTGCCGAAAGCTTCCACGATGTGCTGCTCCGTAGATCTTTCAGCTCCTTCGACAATGCCGGCTGCTTCCAGCACAATGCTCCTACCTTCTATGTGAAGTCTACGCACGGGCTGCTGTAACCAGAAACGTGCTGTCATGGGCAGTGGTGGCAAACGTCGCAAATGCTTTCAAGCATCTGGCAAAAATTTGAATTGACGGTCTTGCGGCTGCTGTTTGAGGCCTTTGATGAGGAAGCTCAAACCCAGCAGCAACCCTGACGTGGCCTTGCTGAAGGCTGCCTCTTCGGTAAGCCTCGCAGGCCATCATCGCTTGCAACAGCATAAGGAACGCGCTGGATCACCATGCGATCCAGACCCTACTTGAATCCCCTAAGGGTCCATGCACCCGTATAGTAAATACTGTGGATCGGGGTTTGAATTTGGAGACCTGAGAATGAGAAGAGGGCTTTGGCATCTGTAAGTATTCGACTCCTTTTCACACCCCTGAATTCGGGGGTTTAGGGTGTAGGGTTTTGCGGCCATTATATTCACAAACATATGCCGGTCAAAGAAACCAGAATGAGCCGACATGGACGGTCGGAACAGCCAAGAATATGTATGCCTATGTGTATATATATATATACAGATATATACATACATA